CCTATGGTATAGTTCTGCTCTCTCCTACAGGGTCTCTATGAGTTAGAGTCCATGGCAATGTTGTTTGTTTGTTTGTTTGTTTGTTTGTTTTGGGGGGGGAGAGGGACTCTAGCCTGGCTGGAATGAGGGTACAACTCCACAACCACATCAGCCCCCATCAACGACCACCCATACATATCCAGAGAAAAGTATGAGGCACCCTGGAATCCTTCCAGAAGCCGGCCTATGGGGATATTTTCAGTTCCAACATTCTCAAGAGTCTTCTCTCTGGAGCTCACCTATCTGACTAGGAGATATTTCTCTGCGGCTGGACTCCACAAGGCGAGAGGGCAGGAAGCGCATCTGTGATGCTGGGGTGAGAGTCACACACACCCCACAGCGCCAAAGGCAACCATTGCTCACACAAAAGGTTCTGTGTCCACTTCAGTCACACGAACGCCGTTACGTACCAGTCCAGATCTCACAACTGCACATAATCCCACTGCCATACTTCGGTCCCGTCACGCCCACAGACACACACATGCAGTCACACTACTACCGTTCTCCGAAACGCTTGGGCCTGAGGGGCGGAGCTGTCAACACCCAGCCGTACCGCAGAGCCTCACCTCTCTTCTCAACCCCCATACCGCAGCGCCCTCTCAGCAGAAGGCTGGGTCCAACGCTGTCAGGCCGTATTGCTCACCTGGGGTGATGAACCCGACACGTGGTGATAGCCAGCGCTGCGGAAAGTACCACGGTCAACGAGATAGAGTACACGGTCCCTGGGACCTAACAGCTCTCGCGCGGGGTTTGCTGGGAGCGCCGGCCGCGCGCTTAGTGCGCAGGCGCAGCCTGTCTGGAATTTGCAGAGCATCAGGCCCGGCTATGAAGTGTGTGGATAGAAGGTCGAGTTGGACAGTGGACTGGGCGTAGTTTTCTGAGGAGATAGTGCCTGGGTTTGGAGTGCGACCTGGACACATGAAGAGAGATGTACATGTATGTGACTCTTTGTGGTGCCTACTGGGGAGCTACGTAACTGTGGGTGGCGATGTGCATCATTCTGTGAGGTGATTCTGGGTGTGATCTTAAACTGTGTGTGTCTGGTTTGTTTTTGAGACAGTGTGACTGCGGGAGGCTCGAATGTG